CCAGCCCGCTCAGAGATGTGTATAAGAGTCAGGTCTAAAGGCAGTATAACACCAATCGTGGTCCGCATTTGCAAAATATTAATGCGTTTTGAAACCTATAAAAAAGAAAATGTCGCAACCTTTTAGTGAGCGAGTGTACAATATAAAATTCTAAACAGCTTAAAAATACGCGTGCGGAAACAGATTTGTTTTCATTTTGTAACAGCAGTATAATTTGTATAATTTGTTATGGTTTATGCTTTCAATTTTATATTCGATATATATATGCGTACATATAACACTACATAATGCACTTTGAAGATATAATATTTGATGTAATTAATTTGATGTAATTGTTTAACAAATTAAATTTAGTCTATTTTTTTCTTTCTGTTCATCTTTTAATTCACTGCCTAATCACAAGCAGAATTAATCATCTTGAAATATCGAAAGAGAATAACGATACAAATTAAATGGAAAGCAAAAATGACATTAGATGTATTATTAAAAAATAAATGGAAAGCACCCATTAACTACGAATAAATCTTTGTCTTTATATGAACCGCTTACATTCGTCTATTACATTGACAACTACAACAACTTCGATGTGACCATATTTTTTTTCTTCATTTCTTTTAATGAAATAAGAGCTAACAATATTTTGTACAAGTTTTATGATACAAATATATTAAGATAATCCAGTGTATATACCGTACATTATATAATTTAGAGTTACAAGTCCTTGCGAGGACTCGATCTCCTTTCTTGTACAAGGCAATATCCTTTCCTTTTAATGGCGCTAAAAAAATCTTTTTCTTTTGCTATATTCCTCGCCCTGTACTGGGAAAAATTAAAATGTAAACGCTCTTACGTCCTCTCCTCGCAACCCCCCCCCCCTCCCCCAACTCTCTGTACAGACACAATATATTCTTCACTTCTATTCATTTTGACGATATTAACCGCGAAGTATCTTCATGGTTCTGATATTTTGGTTTGCCATGAGTGAAAGGTAGATACCTGTACTTGATCATATGCTGCAAGTAAAAAAAGATCGCGTTAATTAAAATTGTGAATCTAAAATTAAAAAATAAACGCTAAATTTTTAATTTGAATAGAAGAAGATTTATTGACCACACATATTTGCGCTAAACCATTCCGAACAATTTCGCAAAAAAACGTTTATTTAGAGAGAGCTAATCTAATCTAATTTAACGTTTAACTTAAAAAAGAAAATTTCCCAGATTTAGATCTAGAATTTCTAAAAAATTTTTGTTTTTTTTTATAATTTTTAATGTGCAATACTATTTTTACCTTGCCATATAAACTTTCAAGCGTAATTGTTATATAAAATAAACAATCAAAATATAAACAGAAAAATAATTAAAAATAAGTAGTATAAAAGATGTAAAAATTTGTATCGTCTATTACCTTTATTTGCCGCTTCATTGTGATACAGAATAATGTTATGAAATACATAACAAGTATCGGCCAGAATACTGGTATGTTAAAGCAATCAAATAGAGTGCATATCATGGCAACAACAGTAGATTTTGTTACTGAGTACCAGAATTTAAATTCAGGTAATCTTCTAATGAACGGCCTGAACTCTTCGTTTGACCTTGTAGGTAACTCTGGGCCTTCTCCGTCTGTAATTTTATTTTCAAGTTATCTTCTTATTTGTATCTTTTAATTATAAAAATTTAATTTAATTTTAATATACAATTTTTAGTTCAGTTTGAATCGATAATTTTTCATTGAATCAAATAACATTTTTTATTCGATCAATGTATTATTATGTAAATTTCTTTTCGTGCATAATTTGCAAAATAATTGTGCACAAAAAAGTTTAAAATGGACCTTAGTAAATCGCTTACCATCGAAATCCATAGCAGGATCAATTTTTGGAGTAAGGAATGCTATGAATAAATTGAGGTGATAAATTCCTAGTGCATACGTGACAATATACCAGCCCTGCAAACACGAAAATGTTGTTATAATATCGTGCAATATAAATGTAAATATTCAAGCTAGTTATTTAATAGAAAATACCATACTTGAGAGATAAATATACGTAGAATAAAAAGTACTAGTAGGAAAAAAGCAAATATCCATCGCGATATTACATGGGGAGTCCATAGATCTAAGTATCTTTGATAAATCTGCAATGAAAGGGAAAGAGATTTTCTTAAGTATATAATGTGCACAAGAAAGTAAGATAAAATAAAGATTGAATTGAAAATATGCAAATAAAAAGGTGAAATTAAAGGCTGCCAAAATCGACGTTAGAATCTTTATTAATATCTTATTTTGTCCATAATAATCGCTAGTAGTAGATGGCACAATACTTTAATTGAACAAGGAAAGAAAAATTAAGTAAAATAGTTATATATATATATCGCATAAAGTACTAAATCATTTATAAATTTGATTAAAAATAAGGCTAATATTAACCTGTGATATTCTTATTATCCCTTGACTGAAAACATTTTTCCTCACTGAACCACCCAAGTCTTCATCCTGCATCATTTTTTCTTACTGTAAACATAAAACTTTATTGTAACATAAATTAATATGAATTAAAGCTTTGCAAGCGGATTTACGAAAAAGCTATTTGTGGAAAACAATTTTGTCGAACATATGTACATACAAATATATACAATAGTATAAAACACATGTAAGTTAAACTGCAATATATACCTAAATAAATGAAAAATTGATTTACACATCAATTAATCGTCTGTTGTCCATGTGAACATTCAAATCTCATTTCAATAGAATTCCTCATACTTATAGAATTTTCTCTTCAATGAAAAACTATACATGTATAGCTTAAATTTTTAAAAAATTATAAATTCTTATTAGGAAAAGAGAAATTATTCGATCGTATCTTTACGTTTACATTTATTTATTACGTATATATCAAACAGCTATCAAATATATTTTTTCATAAACATTAAGCATTAGCACAGCCAATACCTCTACTCATGTTACAACATTCGGACATTAACATTATTCTGAATTGAATATTTATTAGCAATCGCAGTCTCGCGTTTCAAATCCATCGTAAAGATGAGATGAGAGGTTGAAGAATGAAAATGAGCACTGTGAGTAAGAACTCCACCCAAAGAAGAGACTCCTCTCATCATTGTGATGATACTCGTGTTAGTTAAGATACGAATTCAAGGTTGCGATCGAGCCGTCGATTCGACAAGGACGAATTCACCGGGGCACAATCTTAAATCGCTACCGCGAAAAGTCGAGAAAAGAAACTCTCGTTTTTCGTAGTGCTTATGGAAATTTTCGTAGACAAGTGTCACACAAAAGACAACAGCGATATCGCGGTCATCTCGAGTCTCGAGTGACATGGCACGGCGGGGCAGGCCGCGGGCGCCGCGGCGGCAGGCCATGACATGATACATTAACCTGACCTAACCTCCTGCCGATTTACGCTATGATGAAATATCGGACTCGACCTCGCGCGAGAATACGCATTGCGCGCGATTATTTACCTACGATACTTTTTTGCGCCGTCTTTTCCACCGCACGCCGCACCAATCTTGCGCCGAATATATTCTTCAAAAATATATATATAACACGTCACAACATTAATGGCATACCATTAGACGTTCCGTAGAATGATGCAGAATTGGCGAATTGGCGATTGGCGAAGAAGAAATTTACGAGGAACGACGAAACGAAGCGAAGCGGACGAAGAAGGCGCCACGATCGCGACCAACCATGAACTATGACCGTAGCGTGGAGTCTCTCTAGTCACTAGAGGGATCTATATGACCGGCGACCGTCCAGCCCGGCCCCCGCTCGACTCGCTTCACTTTTACATTTATTAAATTATAAAATATATATAGTTAATACTTAAATAGACTGCGCGCTTCCATTGAAACTGTTGAAAATGTGAAAGCAACATTAGAATGAGAGAGGGCAATACTGGCAATAGGTATACTGCTTTCCTTGTTCAATTCTGCAGCAATTATATATTCTATACGCATAGCTTACTCTCTTATCTGCCTAGGATTTTATCGGCAGTATCAGAAAATGTAGCTACGTAGTTCTCATTTCTCAACAATAGACGGCGCTAGTGTACAGGGGAGTTTGCCGCGTCGCCCGCGCCGGTCCCACGAAACGCCGGGACTCAGCAGGATTCAATGGATATCAGGATGTTGTGTGGGCTGTTTTCGTGTTTTTGATTTTCTCTGGTTCAGTGCTCAACGCCAAATGTATATATATATATATATACGAATTAGTTAAAGATAATTGCATAATGCATAATCGTAAACAATTAAAATTATGTTAATAATCCAAGTTCGCTACATCGATCATGTCGAGATAGGTTTTGTAACCTCAATAATGATAAACTTAAATTCTACGATACAGTTATTCGTTTTCGTTTCGTGGAAAAACGCGAATGAGCCAAAATTCGGAGGTAAGGACCATCTTCTTATTAACATTTTATACCTATAAATACAAATATTTTAATTTAAAGCTTTAAACCCATTTTATTTTTGCGATATGTACAATTACTATAAATGTACACGAATACACTAATTGGTCGTGCTATCACGTAATATTTATAGTTTTCTTATCAAGTAATAAACAAAAAAGTGGGTCTCTTAATTTTTAATTTCGATTAATTTTTTCAAAATTTATCCCAGAATATTATACGCGATATAACTGTCATATGGAATAGAAATCACCCAAAATAATTTTCGGTATCTTTTTAATCTTGTAAGATTATTTTAAGAGCAAAAATTGAATTTTTTCAACTATAAAATAGAATTAATATTTTTTCCTTTTAACGTATGAATTAATATAGAATCAAGAGAATACGAGAAAATAAGAGAAAGCTAAGAGATATAGAAATCGAAGAGCTGATATAGAATTATATGCTTTAGCATCAAAAAATCTAAAATATAACTTGGCAACATTTCTCATTGCAACAATCTTGGCAATTTCTGCGAATTAAACGATAGTACAGCTATTCCCTTGATGACGTATCTTGCTGCTCTTTGAGATGGTAAATCCCGGACAGCACTGGTCTTGTTGCATCAACAATTGAGAATTGCTGAGATCGCTACTAATTGCAGCTGCGCACTCGCTATCGTTGCCTGCTGCAGCTGTTGCATCCTGCAGATTATTCTTATAATCCTTTTGCGTCTGTAACGCGAGATCCAACGACAAATTCGATTCGTCTTCCGACGAACTCTGTGAAGACGAGGATAAAGTGGCATTGATCTTTACTTCCGGTTTCGTGCGCACACTCGCTGATTGATTTTTTACGCGTGGCGACAAATTGTGTTCCCGGTGCTGCCGGAAGTGCTCCTCCGTATCGTTCAGAAGAGAACTGAACATGTCTGACGCGCTTTTCACGCCTACCGCACCCATAGAATTCGACCGACATTCTGCAATCACGCGAAAAGGAAATTTGTTTCTTAAATTTTATTAAGTATAATCCTTAATTTCTTTATGAGAAATAGAGAGTTACTTCCTCGCTAGCTTTCGCTATTCGCTATATATAATTTGCCAAGCAATTAAATGATACACGACACGCGTACGTACGTACGTACGTACGTACGTCACACTGTTTCATATATAAGTATATATGTAGATTGAAAAAAAAAGAAAATATGTATATAAATTTAAATCTCACCTCGTACTTCCACACTCTTCGTTGGTGAATTCGCGACCGATCGTCGCGCGACATCTTGAAAAGTGATGGGAGAATATATCCTTCTCTCCTCGGAGAAAAAGCCCGAAGATCCCGGTGGTGTTGGAGACGACAACTTCGACGAGCCTCTACGTCTCGCGAGCGCGTCTTCCGAGGTCGCAGGTTTGTCAAACATACCTGAGCTTATCAGACCTATCGCTCCCACTGAGGAAACTTTTTTCTCGAAGCTCCTTATAGTATGCCATTGATGAGGCTCTTGTATAGTGATTCCCTGGGTCGTGACAGAACGACGTTCTCGCTTTTCCAACCAATAGGTCTTCATCGTACCTGATGGTACAATAGAAATGCAATACAATAAAATTATCTCCAATACGCCAATCGTCTCGTACAATAAAGCCTTAAAATTAAATATTAATGATGAGAAAGATCAGCTAGAATCGAATATCTCGATTGGATCCTCGCTGTAAAAATAGTTTAGTAAAATTCAAGGTGATCTTAATTACCCTTCCCCTTGATCTCGATTTCTTCACGTTCTTTAACCTTGTACGAGGGCGATAATAATTCCTGGGTAGATTGAGATATATGTATCTGCATGGCTTGGCTTGTCGCTTCCATACGGGCTGCTGTATTGACGGAGTCGCCGAAGAGACAGTATCGTGGCATCTTTAATCCAACGATACCAGCTACCACCGCACCACTATGAATGCCAACACGTATCTGGAGATGGTTGCCTGTAGAAATTCAATTTTCTTTAGTGCAATCTTAATTCTATATTGCGCTTTATACAGTGAAATACAGTAAAATACATTACACTGGAGAAGTAAGTCCCTGAAATGAGTTAATAAAGAATGAATAAAAGATATAACAGAATTTTTTCTTTCTAGACAGAACCTACAATAAATTTAATATTTAAAGATGAATGAATTAGAATTTAAAAAGATATATTCTCTATATCAAGAATAATTTTGGATATTTCACTTTATTTCTTTAACAAAGGATATATGTCAAGATATATATATGCTAAGAGATAAAATCATCCCTCATGTGTCAAGCGATTTTTAATTTTTTTCGTTACATCTCCAAAAACTATCCAAGATATGAAAAAATGTTTTATACAAAAGTTTTACAATAAAATTGCCTCTATTCATTCACGTCAATAATATTTTTGAAAAATAATTATATAAAAAATTTTTGAAAATTTTTACAAATTATTTTTTAAATATATTAGTGATGTAGATAAATCGAGGTAATTGTAAAACTTTTGTATAAAACATTCTTTGATCAATAATTTAATTTATGTCTCAAAGCCTGAAAAGATTATGGACTCGTGTTGAGAGTTTGCAAAATTATTTAAATATTTGGCAAACGTAATGAACTGGAAAATGCTTTGAGAAAATTAAGGAAAAAGCCGAAAATATGTACGAAGAGAGAAAGAGAGAGAGAGAGAGAGAGAGAGAGAGAGTGAGTGAGTAAGAAAAAACTGATAATTTCTTTTTATAATACATATAAACCTGTTGAACGATCCTTGAGATCGGTTATTGCTTCGACCATATCAAGCGCCATATCACATACACGATCTGCATGGTCGTTTTCTTTTACTGGCGCACCAGAGACTACCATGTAAGCGTCACCGATAGTTTCGACCTTAAATAAAAAAAGACAGCATGATTATTGACTATAAAAATATTGTTTAACGCGTAAAAATAGATTAAAATAATCGTGCAATTATTTTAACCGATTTTTTATCAAAACTTGACCAAAACTAAAATTAAATTAAATGATATTTGTTGCTGGATTAATAAATAACGCAAATTATGAGAATCAGATCCGCGCGTTATTCACGTAAATTTAAACGAAATTTCCCGAAAAATAACAATTGCGATATTCTTTTCTAGTATCTAAGGTATACCTTGTAAACTCGATTTCTCTCGGTCAAAGTATCAAACAATGAGTACATAGCGTTTAACATTGACACAACTTCCATTGGTGAGATTCTACTGCAGATCTCGGTAAAAGTCACTACGTCTGAGAATAAGATTGATACACTATCGAACATCTGCAAGCAGATAAAATGACATTGTTTCAGAATAATTTCATCGTCAAAATACGTATACTTATTAACATAATAGAAAAAAAGAAACAATTTCTCTATAAACTTTAATAACACTATTTTGCATAATTTTGCATTTGAAAATAAATAGTATGGTTGTATGATTGCATGGTTAATTTTATGATCGTTATATTAAATATTAGACATTACATTAAAATATACTCGCGACACCAAAATTGAAGCATCACCTATTCTGACTCCCCAAAATAGGTAAATTTCAAGAGAATGTAACACAAAAATGAAAACGTATAATAAAATGTTCCAAAAAGCATTTTACAGCTTAAAATCTCTAATACTTTTGAGATTGACAATTTATTAAACGTTTTACTGATTTTTTTACAAAGCTATACGGATGCAAATGGAGACGTATCAAATCTCCAAATTTTTTATGATCTTTACAAAATTCCATGAATTCAACTGCGTGAATTAAAAATCGCACATAAGTGCAGTTTATATATAGTATCGAAAGCGTGAATCTTTACCTTTAATTTGCGCATTTGAAGAACGTTGTGAGATTTTTTTCACCGAGTTATTCAACACAAGCAAAAAAGACCATTTTTGCTTCAGTGAAATAACTTCAGTTGAATAACTTGGTGAAAAAAAATCGCATAACGCTCATCAAGTGCGCAAATTAAAAATAAAGATTCACGGATTTTTCGGATGTTGTAAACAGCATTTGTGTACGATGTTTTTATGTAGTTAAATTCATGGAACTTTGGAAAGTTTGTAAAAAATTTTGAGACTTGACTTGCATTTCCATTCGCTTCCGTATAGCTTTATAAAAAATCATAAATCCTTTAATAAATTACTAATCTCCAAAGTAAGGATTTTAAGCTGTAAAATGCTTTTTGGGACATTTTATTACAAACATTTTTTACAAAGTTATACTTTTTTGAAATTTGCCTTTTTATGGGGATCAGAATAGGTGATGCTTTAATTTTAATATCGAGTGTATGAGAGTATTAATCTATTATCTCATAGAATGTAAATAAAAAATATAATTTAGAAGTATAGAATTATTATTTTATTTTATTTTATATTGGACCATACGTCACTTCTGTGCGATACGGATTAAGATTTTTCAGAAAATCTTTTAAAGAATATTTCATCTTGCCAACAGCATTTAATAATCTATGACATATCTAAGCGAATGAAAGGATAAAAATCTGAATTTTACCCTTCATCCTTATTAATCATACCTCGCAAGTATCAATTGGACTTTCACCATTCCTCAAACGGTCCGCGACCTGTTTGGGAATCATTTGATATAACAACTCATCCGTACGCTTCATTTCTTCGTCTAATTTCCTCATAGATTCCTCCAATTTTTTACTCTTAAGCTGTTCTTGATCTAATGCCAATTTTAATTCCACGGACTGTTGAGTCCCAGCGAGCATGAGGTCCCTGTGAAGTCATTAGGTCGACAGTTAGATCGATCACTTGACACAGAGCTTAACTCTGTAGTCAATCACCAAAAATGTGAAAACTACTATAATTTTTCCAAGTTTAGTTTTCAAAATATTACACAATAGCATTTTCTCCTACTCTTAACAATGAGATAACGTTACTCCCGCGGATCACGATAACGGATAATAATATTTTTCTTCTTGAAACCGCCTCGAATGAATAATTCTTTTACCGACTAAAATCGTGCATCGAAAGATCATTTATATAAAGGCCTGTTGCTATTAAAGCGTTCAAATCAGGCATGACCGGTGTCCCGAGATACATCATCATTTTCCAGTTGTCCATGTATATCATTTGACCTGAAAAAAAAATGCAATTTCACCACGATATATTGTCATCTCTTAAATCTTTTGCGTGTCGTAATCCCATATTTTCTTTTTTAATGTATATATATATATATATATATATATATATATATGTATGTATATATACATACACTAGTATATATCGACTGATTTATTATAGTGTATACAAAAAATGTTTCATAATAGCTAATATTTTTTATCATAATCAACAAATAATAAGCTTCTAAAGTTAATAAATAAATATAAACGTACCCTTTAATCGTAACGTCTTATCTTCTACTGTTTCAAGCTCGTCACTCAAGAGAGTTTCGTTTCTGTGTCGATCATTCAATCGTTCCGTAAGCACTGGCTCAACAGTAACCAGCTCGAAAATGTTGTTTGTTCTGTTCAATATCTAAATCAAATAAAATTAATTAGTTAAAAACGATTCGAAATCATACTAGCAACCTAAATTTGGGAAATTTTTGGAGTTTGTTCAAAGAAATTTATATGTACATTAATCAAGTACTTTGGAAAGATGGACTAAACTGTCATTATTTATTTAATGAACTTTTTGAATTTTCTTGTCTCTTTCTATGCTTTTTCTTATATTTATTAAATTTACCGATTGAAATTTAAACGCAATAAGTGGTCGAACCAAATCGAAGAAGTACGTAATCTTCTTGCCAACCAGATCTGGCAATATGACCATTAGTGAATTGCCGATGCTCCTAACAACCATATCTGATCTGAAATGTAAACATTCAGTAACTAAATAAATTTATTCGAAAATCGAGGTGCATATAACACACAAGCGCGCGTACAAACACATACACATACACACAGTTTTTTACATTAAAAACGGAATTGTTTTAACGATTTCACGCATAGCTTATTCCTTATTTGAATTCAATTATTAATTATAGTAATTCAATTATTGAATTAAACCAGAACCACAACTACATAAAATTTAGAATTTGATTCTTAAAATAGATATTTTAGATGTCTTAATAACATTTTTATACAATCATTTTAGCACGCACCCGAAAACGATGCAGAAAGGAAATATCTCAAAGAGCACACACGCCCCGATCGGCAGATGTTTCTCCTCACGGGTCATCGCGAGCGATGCTAGCGTGAAGGCGCGATTGTCGAAGGTAAGTTGAAAAGTCACGTGTACAGTGTCGAAAAGCACTTCCTCGCGTACCAACTCGATCTGAAGCTCCTTGTGATAAAAATGCCGAGCAACTTCTCTTATTTGACCCATCGTGTAGTAGACGAAGCCTCGGCGTTTGCTTCGGTAGTGAAGAGTCAACCCTGCACATTCGTCAATTTCTACATTCCTTGATTCTAAAATATTACGTAGCGCCATAGGGGGCTAAGAGATCCTTTTTTTTGTTTAATTTTAAATCTTACTTATAATGCGTGAATTACACGTGAATTGATGAGTATAATAATAATTCAAGGTTTGACGCGAAAGAATATATAACTTTTTCGAGATGCGGACGGCTAATTCACCTTGACGAGTCTCATTTTCGCAAATAAACGAAGGTGCTCGCATTCTCGGATAAGAAAACTTGAGGTACTCGTGGAGATTGTCTAGACCATTGAGAAAATCTCTCACATGCCGTCCGAGCACCGAGAGTACGCGATCGTAACCGTACTGTCCGACGAATCCCACAAAGTGCACACCCATTTGATCGAAAAACTCCTTTTCCGTTACGCCGAGTACCTGAAAAGTAGATATACTTGAATTTTTTTACAATTGCTCCGGAGATGAAAGTTATCTGCCTTTACCAAAATGATTGAAATGAAATTTACAATGTGTGTGTGTGTCTGTGTGCGTGTGTGTGTGTGTGTGTGTGGTGTGGTGTGGTGTGTGTGTGTGTGTGTGTGTGTGTGTGTTGTATATTCTTTATACTTATCTATTAAGCGTTCTGTCTTTATTTCAATATTATATATGTATGTCAAACACAATATTAATATACAAGTTAAATTTGGATTGGATTTATAACAACGAAATAATAATAAAAACTAAATATTTTCTGACTGAGATCATATTTCATTTGGCCATTATCAAAAAGCTTAACAACACTTCTATTCTAGTCTTAATACTCTCAAATCCTAGAGTCTATTTGAATAAGTATACATGTGAGAAAAATGGTGAAGAAGATAATACCTGAATTGCTTTTTTCGCTAATCTCGGTATCAGGTTTTCCGGATAGACCTGATGAACGCTAAAGCTCGGCTGATCCACGGACGCCTGCCTACGGATCTCCTCCCATCTGTCTTCGCCGTAAACTTGCCTTATATATTCGGCTAGATTCTCCAAGATTAGACCGTACATATTTCTTTAGGCAAGAAGGAATTATCCTGCCTAATCTACTGAAAACACGTAATTTTTTATATATTATCTGCTGCATAAGAACTCAGTCTACATAGTATTTAAAGTATATCTGTTAAATTTCTATTGGCACTTTTCGTCAACGTAATAATTTTTTTTTCAAATATGCAGATATGATTTACCCTCTCCAAAAGTAACTTGGTAAAAATCTAGTCCTTCATAAAATGTGCATCTAATAAATATCTAAAAATTTTCACATTTTCGTGATTTCGAACATGCACTGCACGTACATATTAATTTTTGTGCAGTATTTCACAAATTTTTGTTCACCATGATCACTGACCTCGCTCACTAAAAGGATGAGGCCCATGTGTAGTATGGGATCGATCTCTTGAATTCAAATCAACTTGTTATATGGATATGAGCTCGATTATTATTAGATCGTTCATAATTTCACTCACGTATGCCGGCTCATCGATGACCCTGCGCCGCTGATTTATTTAAGACGTTTCAATAATATCAATAAGTTTGGGCTTTGACTAATACTCGCGTGCCGAAAACACATTCTCACCAAGTATTCAAACAATTTCGATAATTATAATGACCCTAACTTTTTACGATAACAAAACAATCCATAAAGATATAGCAAAGTCATAGAAATTGTGGTAAATTTAATTTTCGAGTTATGAATATTATCACGTTTAAAAATAAGAGAGAGGGGGAGATAAAATCCTTTCCAATAGCTCAAGATAAAAATAACATGATCAAATAATTTACAAAGAACAAACGTGTCATAGCTTCTTTTCAACAATCTGATGATATCATACTGAAGAAAGACGACCAACACTATTTCTTCATCTCGCTTCATTCATTTTAAATATATACATGTCGAATCTTTCAACCGTATACTTGAATATTTTAACGATAAAGTCAGATAAAGGAAGTTATCAAACGGAAAAGTCAAAAATTTATATCTTATTTCGACATATGTGATGTAAAATATATATAAATGTTTCATAAATAAAATTATATTATATATGTACGTTCACTTATTGATGGTACATTGTCTTTTTATACATGCACATATTTAAAGCATTCCCCAAATTTGGGAATCGTGCAAATCAAATTTTAACTTATTTCATTGATATTATATGGGAGGATAGGTTTGATATGCATCAGGCATCTGCGCTTCTATTTATATGAGGCACTTTCGCAAGAGCGTAAAGTCACTAGAAAAATATCCTGAAATATACACTCGCGCATTCGATCACATCTTATATATATATATATATATATATATATAGGTATCAAAAGAGAGTAGTTTTTAGAGAGTAAGTTTTTAAATATATATTATATATATCGACACTGACCTCAAGAATACTTCTCAGCACCAGATCAATAAATATTACAATGCGAGAATGAAAAGCTTACTAGCAACCTGTCGTGACAAATTTCATCTTTTATACGCGAATAGCAATTAAATTAATTTCATTTCGTAAAAATAATTTTGTTGAATAGTTTCTGTGTACGCGTGCACATATGTAATATATATATATATATATATATATATTATCGCGTTCAGTTGTACTTTTTCTATCATCTATTCCATCGTGCTATTATTATACATATCTACCTAATTATCCAGTATCACGATTCACGTATAACCACTTTGTTTCGATCAACACGCAGATATTTAGAATAATATAATTACGTTATTACTTGCCTCAATAACACCCTCTTGCAAACTCCTCGGACGTCCTTTATCGCAGCGGAAGCTGCAAACCGCGGAACTTTGGAAAGATGCAGCGACGAGCGAAGGAAGAGCCAAAAGGATCACAAGTCACCGCAGTGATAGGTAGCATGCGTTTTGACTTTTTTACGAAACGCGGAATCGTACGTTTCGCGGCACAGTGTCGTGTACGGAATAATTAGATGGATTCGATAGACTCTCCCGCCGCCACTTTCCGCAACTTTTCAATCTCGTATTTCTCCCCACTTATTCCTGCTTTCCTCTTCCACCGTTCCATTTTCTTTCCTCAATCTATTTAGGCTCTGTATAGATGATCTCTTTCCGTCCTCCGTTTCCACCCTCTCTTCCTTACACCTGCAATCAGGGTCGGATTTCTAACCACATCTGTTAGATCTATTTGAAATTTTGGGAGTTTTTGAGGCGTAAATAAAAGAAAAGCAAACGGGAACGGAATCTTTAAGAAAAAATCGAATATACAAGTATGTTTGAGAATTTAACTTATCGTTGTAAATTTCGTGCAGATTAAAGTGAACAGAAAAATAGGAAAATTGATTTAACTCGTACAAGAGCCTTCTGTTAGAACATTTCAAATAATATTCGATTTTCGATATAATAATATTTCTATCCATTATTTCAGTTCTTATCCTTTAATAGATTTTTCTTCCATAAAAGAGAGAAACGATACTTATAGGGAAAAAAATGTCGCACGCGGCGAATTGGAGAGAGTTGGAGCTAGCTAGCTAGCTAGCTGTCGTCGTCTATCGTCACGTCGGAAATTGATATATGCTCGCGGCTACAGACTACAGACTATTTACTCGATTGAAAAATGTCGAGGATTCACGTTCCAGGAGGATCCGTTCCTGTCCGCAATCCACTTGGTCTTCTCTCGCAGCTGTTAGCTAATAAGGGACCCTCTTAAAAGCTCCCTGCTTTGCGTGCGACTTGATTATGAAATTGTCTCGTTGTTATAATTGTCCCACTGGTTAGCTATTATGGTTAATTAGATTGAGTCGCCGCGCCGCACCGCACCGAGACGATGCTTCTACGTTTAATGAATTTAATCAACAACAATCGCAAATCGATATTGCGAATGTTATTGAATTTGACATATGTCGAAATTAATGTTAATGGATTTGTATAGAGATCCCACGATACAGCAAATATTTAACAAAATATTTATTATATATATATATATATATATATATATATATAAACATATACATGAGTCATAAATTTTATATAAATCACATGTTGTATAGGTCTCTATATAAATCAACCAACATGATTAATCATATTTTCCTAATTTCTAAAGCCGCGGTTTAAAAGTAGTCCTTTAAACTATAAAGATTGAGAGCGCGGTGATATCCGCGAATCTCAGACCTCAAAAGTTTGAAATTAATAAAATAGAGAGAAACTCTGTTTTATATTTTCTTTTCCACGATCTAAAATCCATTTGAAGTATTTTCTAATCGGCAACGTAGCAAATTTCAAGCGAGCGCAAATGTTTCGATCAACTATATCGCCGAAGGCGAGGCAAAGACGAATAATCACGCAAAATCGTTGTAATTCGACAATCGAAATTTTAATCGCTCTGTCTCCGCGTAAAGATGATTCAAAACGATTTCCGCGATATTGTCGTTGTTTTCATCAGTCTTTTTTTTTCCCCCAAAACACGCAGTCGAGCGCGCTTGATCATTGGCGCGAATCAGCGCGAACTGTACGTTATCTATACCGGAGATTACCGTGCTTCACAAATAGCGAATTAAGACTTCACAGTATGCCGACACATAAGTGTCACACGACATCGTCAATCGCGATCACGACGCGACGACGGCTGAATCGCACGATAGACTCACGCAAAACCCATCACCCAATACACGCGGAAGCACTCGCGCACTCGCTCGCGGAATGAATATTACTGCGTGCGTGCGTGCGTGCGTGTGTGTGTGTGTGTGTGTGCGTGCGTGCGTGCGGGCGTGCGTGCGTGCGTGCGTGTGAGATGAGAAACGAAATGTCGTCGTAAACGCGACAGGATCAATCTGCGAGCGCGACAGAGAGTATGCGCGCGCGGCCTTTCTCCCTCTGGTACCTTATCTACGTGAGGCAAAAAGGAGCTCTCAGGAATATGCGATATCCTTCTAGTTTTTACAAGATTCCATCGGATCTTTTCATAATTTTTTGACCAATCATAAATATTCCGATAAATGTCCCGCGCGCCTTACATGTTCGCTCGTGTTAACGTTAGAAATAAATCCTCGTTCTTTTATATTTTTCATGTATCTATAAGACGATATGATTAGCCAACCGAATTAAATTTAACTTGCGAATAAACGATAGCAAATATAATTACAATTACTCGTAATCGTATATGTATAATATATTATTTAGTCTCGAATAATAATTATTTAATTGAACGATTAAACGTCTTAAACATTGGATAGAACGAAAAAAGTGTTATTGCTCTTCTGTTGGACAAGCTTAGTAACGTAATAACGTAATAAGGAATGTTGGAATATATATAAAGTTTTATATGGTTTAACTTTTATCGCATATTTTCTCAAATACGATTGATCAATTTCATCCAACAGCAGAACGCAAACAAATATGTCTGGCGAATAATGTACAAATAATGATTTTGAATACGCTAAATTAATATAATATATCGCCAAAATGTATCTACGCGGAATGATAATCGTTGCTCGCAATTATAAAGAATTTAAAATAAATTCCTAAATTGAGTTTATTATTCTTTTTAACTTCTAAGAAACTTTCGAATCTATATGAAGGTGTACGAGCATTCACTTATCATTATTATTATCGTAAACTCATTACGATTCATATTACACTTCACTTTATAATAATTTTTCGTAAAAACGACGTCAAAAGAATATGAATATTATTTGCTATAACAAGTGATAAAAAATATTTCGTTTGGAGATTCTTTTCTACGATAGATACGTAGACGATTTCATGTATGTAAAACGGAACATAGAGGTATTCGTGTAATCGATATATTTCTCAGGGAAGTAGATAAAAAATGTGTGCGTGCGCGCCCGTTAAATATCCATCGTACTGCAGGCTACAAGCAAATAATAGAAATGATGATTTCCTAGTTAGATATCAATGAAATCACTTGTTACAATTTTCCCATTAAAACGAACGCGTCAAGGTACTATCTTGTCGCGTAAACAGTTTAATTTCTGTCAAAAAGTTATTAAACGATGAGCTGCGGAAAGTTAATAAAAAAAAACTTAATTTTTTAACTCGGTAAATATCTATTGTTAAATTCATTGCAGAAATTAAGTTGTTTTCATAGAATGCATAATTCACTCTGATAACTTAATTAGTCTTTCAATTAAATGTTCGTTACAATACTTACTCTGCGCATAACGTTATACAATTTCCATTTTATCCAAAAAAACAAAATAGAATTATGATTTTCTCGATCTCTTATAAAAGGGCAATTTCACACAAAACAGATTTTACAAAATTGCTTTTTTTAATATATCAATAATGGCGCATTTTCGCGTTAAGGATAAACACTTTGCGTTGCACTTTCTATAATCTACGTTTTGGCATTCAAACTTTATTCAATGTGACTATATTTATTCTAATATTTTTATTATTTTACTTTACTACATACTTATGGTTTTATAAAATTTACATCTAATCTTATTTAATTTTTAGTGCATTTTCTCTTCACATTTTTTACCATTTTTTTTCACCTTTTCTACGTATATTATTTTCACTAATTTTCGTACTTAATATACAGTTTAGATTTGAAACCAATAATTTTTCCATCATTACGCAAATACTTTAATACACGTACGTTAAAATTTTTTTTCTATATATCGCAATAATTTTACTCTCTAATTGTTTAAACGCGCGCGCGGCAGTTAATTATATCTTTGTATGGAACAAATGCACTTGCATGATATATTAATTTTCACGATATTAGTTTCTTTCGGTAATTAATTTCATAGATATGGAATAAATATGTAACGATATAGTAATCGAAAAGAAAGGTAGACGAGCGAGATTAAACGAGATAGTCGCCTCTGTCGCGATCATTCGCGATCATTCGCAATAATTCGTGGCGATCCGCGATCAAGCGACGACGTTATTATACTGGCCGTCGCTATCTATCGTATTATCGAAAGTGGCATTTCCTGCTATTCGACGTCAAGCTTGACGTTACGCGCGTCAATGGGATAATAAATTGTTATCCCCATCGGTTACTAATGAGTCGTATATTAAAATTGTCAATCGTCATCACGATTAAGTTTCTTACCTAAACTAAAATTATCCGTGACTCTTATTATTAATTTCTATACTACTGGCTTATTTATTTCTTATAATAATTAATATAATATTATTACATTATATAAATAAATATAAAATATATATATATATATATATATATATGTACATATATACATATTGTATACATATATGTTTGTAATATAATTTTAATTCTTTATTTATCTTACTATAACCGTAATTTAAAAAACATGTCTATATATATCCATTTACACGCATGTATACGCGCGCACGCGCATATATTTAAATACAGATTTATTTTTAAATGCACAGTTTTTCAAGAATGAAGCCGCGCAGCACTCTCAGCAGTCTCGAAAAATGGATGTAGCATAGACACGAACCACAGATTGTATACCCGCGGTGTAAGAAAAGTGGATATTGCTATGTAGTTTACATCCACTTGTAGTACAGGGAGTGTCGGTGCGCGAGAACATTTTGCGGCCTTTACCGACCGCGGGGATACAATTTGCGGTGCATGTCCATGCTAAATCCACTTTTCGAGATTCGCTACTACTGTTGCAGTTTGCAGTACTGAAAATGAAAATCCTCCTTTGTTTTCGCTATTTCACAGTAGAGCAACGGATACATGTTTGAAAACGGAAAACGCTTTGATAAAGCACACTTCAGTGACGTGTCATGCTGGCAGTACTGCCAATGAATTTCGAAACGCAGCCATTGCAAGCCATTGTCGTCATTGTCGACACTCGACCCAGCTACTGGCGCGCACGAACATGGTGTGTCGGCGAACGTCGTGCACGTGGACGAACCCGACGAACGGCACCAAACGGCAGCAAGCCCAACCACCAAGTGTCTGACTCAGAGTCTGAGCTGCTGAGCTGAAAAGTGAAGAGTAAAGTGAACCAAGCCCAACACGAAGCACGAAGCCGAAGCCTCGTGAAAGTACGCCCGATGGATGCTGTCCAATGCGTGGGTGGGTAGTGCATTTTCAAAAATGTAGAAAGAGTACGCGAGAAGCACTTGTGGTTTGTGGTGGCTGATGACAAAGAAACGTGGTATGTGATTGCGCGGAAAATTCAGGAGTATTGGAGACGGAGACGATTGGAAAAATCGCCCCTTGATATTTGATCACGACTACGAATAAAAATAGTAATGAAGATGAACGCGTTACTGTGGATAGCTTTAGGTGCATGCATCACTCATGCTTTTAATCTGGAACCACGAATACCTGTTATCAAAAGGGGCCTGCAAGGTTCCTATTTCGGGTACTCTGTGGCCGAACATGTGGAGATTGAGAACAATTCGTTATCCAAATCGATCAGTTGGTGAGTGTATTCCTCTGCCCATTTATCCGCGAAAGTCTTATCATTCTCTATTCTGTACTTTTTATTCTCAATTTTTATATCTTATAACATATATAGATTTATTGTAATAAGGATATGAGAAATAAAATGTGATATTTTTTAACAATATATACAAAGTAATACGAATGCAATTATTTCTCTCTTTGTTGCTTTCTCCCTTTTAATAAATTATTTTTATTATCTGTAAATTGAACTATATAGATTACCACACGAAATAATATTGCTATAATATTAATATATTAATAATAAAATTGTAGACAGCATAGGCTTCCTTATCCGAAATAGAATGAGTGAATAAGGATTGCTTTATGAAGCTTTCTATCGTCGCAAACTTGAAATATTGTAGTTAAATCTTGGTCTTTGTCTTTTGAAGTTAAAGTTTAACAATAAGTCTCTTAAAGTTTCAATTTATTCTATATTGTTATCTAAAAACTTATAATATTGTGCTGCAAATGTCAATTTTATTGTTACTGTGCTTATTCGTGCACAAGGTTACATTTAGAAAGCACTTGGTTTCTTCTTTTCAACAGGATGCTAATTGGTGCACCTTTGGATCAAAATCGACAACCAGGTACAAATAGGTCAGGAGCTTTATGGCAATGTCCGCTGAGTACATATACAAGGGATTGTACTCAAGTCATTACAGATGGACGGATTAGTATGTATATCTCACATATTACATTCTATTCCCCATTTATATCTCTATTTTGTTAATTATTTTTGTGTAATAACTTTAAAAGATATATTTATAATACTATCGTACAAACATAATAATTTGTAGTGCTGTATTAAATTATTATTATGCCCTCTCCACCAAATTCTATTCAATGTTTGAATGTTAAGGTTGGAGCACATCTTTATATGTTTTGCATTAAACTTGTACAACAATGAACCTTTATTTAATCCAATATACATATTTTATATTTATGTATTATTTGATACTTAATTTTGTTCTCTCTCTCTCTCTCTCTCTCTCTCTCTCTCTCTCTCTGTATATAATATATAATATATATATTATATATAATAAGATGCTTTTTTTTGTTGAATCATGTTTCGATAAACCAGTGGACGATGGTCTATTAAACAGACCATACGAATACGAATCGTATGATTCAAGTAAGTGTATAAACTTCAACAGAATCTTTGCAGAATGAATTGAATGAAGAGTTTGAAGATTTTGACCAACGGTTTGCCATACATTTATTGCATATGTCTTTTCTAAATCAAATATGATATTATATATATGTTAAAAGATGAGAAAGCATGCAATGTGAAAAAAATTATATACTTATGCAATCTACATTATCTATTATAAATTAATTATTTTGGATCAAAGCTTGCTCTTGTTTGAATTAACACAGAAGAGAGGTATATTTCTCTCAAGAATGATAATACTAATTAACAATAGCGATACACACATAATTATTTACAGCACTTTTATGTAACAAATGCAACCTGCTGACATTTCTGCTTTTGCTAACATTATTTCTTTTACTAATTGTTTTCATTATTACTTATTATTGTGATTGTCATTGCAGTTTTTTATTTATTCAGGTTTATGTTTATATGCATGATCATTGCAAAATATAATTAAAAGGATTATTTGCTACATATTTTATTACATATTTTTAATTTAGTTATTATTACCTATAAATCAGATTACAAATATTTTTATAATTCACAATCAAATTAATGTATAAAATTCATAATTCTTAAAAGCGCAAATATAACCGCCTACATACTTAATATGTTTCTCCGTAGTTCCACATTTGTAAAAACATACAATACCTATTTTTTTCAGATTTGGAATCGGATGATTTAGTACCACCGGGAAATGACGAATTAAAAGATAATCAATGGTTAGGAGTTACGGTACGCAGTCAGGGAGTAGGGGGTAAAGTTATGGTGAGTAGAAAAAAAGTTGTAAGCAATAATAAAATTAACAATACATATCACACAGATTACCAATTAGTTTCATCTACTCTCAGGTATGCGCACATCGTCATATTGTCAAAACATCTGATTCACAATGGGGTCAAGGCCAATGTTACATATTGTCGCAAGATTTAAAATACAACGATTTAAAAAAGCCATGCTCTGGAAAACCTACCAACAAGTAATATAAATAAGTTGAAAGCCTGATTTCTGAATATTCTATATATTTGCAATGCTTCTTTAAATTTCTTAAACAAACAACCTCTATTTCTCAAGTAAAACTCAATTTTTCAGGGCTCACGAACAATTTGGTTACTGTCAGGCCGGAACTAGCGGTTTATTAACCGCTGAAGATCGGGTAGTGATTGGCACCCCGGGTCCCCACACCTGGAGAGGAACCCTATACCTATTCACAATTTCCGACGAATTTTTAACAAGAGATAATACAGTTTACAACGCGCCAATGCAAGATTTTTCGCCTGTAAACAAATATAGTTATCTAGGTACGTGACTTTATTAAAAATAAGTTTTTCTTTTAGAGTAAGCTTTAAATTTAAATCAATCCAAATATATATTCTTATTACTGTGTCTGTGCGGGAACTGATTTATTCTGCATCCAAATTAATTTTTTTCTCCTTTTTATGAAGTTTTCTATTAAATTATTGATTTCTTAGCCGTGTCGACTTTTTTTCATCTATATTTTTGACGCGTTGTAGGAATGTCCGTGGCCGTTGGAAACTTTTTTGGTAAGGATTTAGCTTATGCGGCAGGTGCACCACGTTCTAATGGTACGGGCCAAGTAGTTTTGTTCACTAGACGCGATTACAAGCCCGACATGGACATTGCCCTTATTCTGGACGGCGAACAATTTGCCTCGAGCTATGGATACGAAATCACATCGGCGGATATAAACGGAGACAAGTAAGACAATGTTTGATATATTGACGTTTGTTACAAAATTATTGTATTATTATCACAAATTTATAAATCTTGCTCACTTTATTTCTACACTTATATTATATGTACATTGTTTTAGAGTAACTGATTTGATCGTCGCAGCGCCTTTTTATTTCAATAAAGCAGAGGGTGGAGCTGTCTACATTTATACAACGTTAAATGTATGTAGGACTACCAACAACAAGTGTTCAGCTGTCAAACTCGTTGGTCATGAGGAATCAAGGTTTGTCATAGTCTTACATATGCCATATTTTACTTACTGAATGGCCGATATTAAGTATGGTAATAATGAAAAAAAAAAATGATAGATTTGGATTTGCACTGACAAATTTGGGTGATTTGAATAAGGATGGATACGAAGATATTGCAATTGGTGCTCCATATGAGGGAAAAGGAACAATTTATATTTATTTAGGTTCCAAAAATGGCATAATTAAAACACCATCGCAGGTAACAAATTTTTTTCGCACATATAATACTACTATTACTTACTACTTTATTCTTTCAATAATTTTATTAATTTACTTTGTAACTTGTCTCTAATACTTTGTACATCTTGCTTATGCAATTTATCATTTTATTATGTTATTGTTTAACAGATCATTCACGCTGAAGATATGCCTACGCCATTAAAAACATTTGGTTACTCATTAAGTGGTGGGACCGACATGGACCAGAATGGTTATACGGATCTCTTGATTGGAGCATACGAGAATGATGCAGTCGTACTTCTTCGTTCTAAAAAAATTATCGATATCTCTACTTATATACGCTATGCGAAAAAGGATGGGATATATCAGGATACAATAGAACCTATCGATCCTAATAAAATTGGATGTTTGGATGATCCAAATTCAAATCATACATGGTAATAGTTCTAAAAAGTAGTTCTATATGAAATAAATTGTAAAATGTGCATTTATGTACATAAACGTATACATACATAAAACTACAGTTTCGCGTTTGAGGCTTGCTGTAAGACGGAATCGCTAGCGAAAGAAGATTCTATGCAAAATCTAAAACTAAACTACTACATCGAAGCAGAAACCTATACCGGAATTAAGAAATTCTCGAGAGTGTTTTTCGGCATCAATAGTCCAAACGCACGTCCTCATTACATAAATCGAACAGTCACCTTAGAAAGTACAAAGTTGGTACACTGCCAAAAGGAGGTAGTCTATTTGAAGGTAAAGTTAAATCTAAATATATTTTATATTATTTCTATTATGTGTTTTTCTATTTATCATTTTTAATATACTCGTACACATTAAACGTATACAACAAAACGTCTATTGTTACTTTATCATAAATACAAATATTTAGTAATTACATATCTAATTAATTTTCTAAAATTTGCCTCACGGCAAATACTATAAATTTTGCTTATGATAAAAAAAATTTAAAAACTAAACTTTACAAGATTCATATTTTAAAAGTTGATTAAATGTGAGTAACACTTAACTACCACGTGATAAGGCTACCCGATTCTGTCGGAAGAAAATTGTCAATAGTATTGCAACCAATTGTAGTACCTAATTACAATTGAACATAGAGGTGAGAAATAATCTTTATCCCGTTGATAAATCATATCTAATTTTTTAGCACATTTAATATTGTATAGTATTGAGTAAAAAAAAATGAAATTAAAATAAAAATTAATTTATTTGAGTATATAGATACAATTCTCTACGTTTACTTTTTTTTATAACTAGTTTTTCTACAAGTGGCAAATGATTTTATCGTCTTATCTTTATTTATACTTTTCTAAAAGATGTATAATAATATTTTACGTGGATGTTAAAACAGGAGAACACTCGCGACATACAAACTCCCATCAAATTCCGTCTGAATTATTCGCTGATACAAGAAGAACCAGTCATGCCTCTCGAAGGTGATCCTTTACCCGATATAAAGAATTATCCAATACTCAATCAGCAAGAAGCCGCACGCGTATTTGAGGCTGTCTTTCAAAAAGATTGTGGAAATAACGACATTTGCGAAAGTGATTTGCAAGTGGTAGCTAAACTGAATTTATCAGGTAAGTGTTTTTTCTTCTTTATACATATATAAATAATTTGATGTTAGAATTATAATATATAAGTATTCTCTCTCTCTCTCTCTCTCTCTCTCTCTCTCTCTCTCTCTCTCCCCATGTAATTTTCATTAAGCTAAGTTTTATTAAAATAAGTATTCAATGCCTTTATTCTTAACATTATTCCATTCTCGATAGCTCATTCCATATTCCATAGCTCAACTTTTTTCAATAAACAAACTTTTCCCAACAAATTTTATGCCATTAGAATAAGACTGCATAGATAATGGCTAAGAGAAGTTTAAAAGTAGAGAGATTCATGTAACGGTACGATAAATTAGAAAAGGCTATAATTTTACTGTAGATATTCTGTGAATATAAAACATAATATAAGGCAAAATGTAATATTTAGAAAGAAGAATGATGTGGGTTAAAGTGCCTAACAAGATCTCTTATTGTATTTAGCTTCTTCCGTAAAACCAGATTTCTACGAGTTGCTTTTGGGCGAAAGAGAAGAGATAGTGGTAGAAGTGAATGTGGCAAATGTTGGCGAATCTGCGTACGAGGCTCAACTGTTTATCATTCACTCACAGAGTTTAAACTATATCGCCAGTAAAAGTAACGATTCCGTGATTTGCAATCTGTACAACGCCACTATGGTATCGTGTTCCATCGGCAATCCATTCAAGAAGGATAAAGCAGTGGACATACAAGTGAGATTTGACCCTAAGGGTCTCGAAGATAATGAATCGCAATTAGATTTTACAATTTTTGTAAATTCCACATCAAAGGAAATCAAAGAGAAGCACCCCACTGTGTTGCAAGCTACAGTGTTAAAACGTGCCGAACTCTCGATCAAAGGGTAATTGTTATTACAAATAAATTTAAGAGCGCCTTCTACGGTCGGGGCTAGATGTGCCTAATAATATTCCTATATTTCTATATTTTCAAACCATTATTCAGCCATTTAGGCTATCTGTGCGCAAGTCCGGATTAATATCGGACTTACAACGATTGCGATGCTGATCACAAATTTATTTGTGATATTTACGCAATCTATTTCAAATTACTATTGTTTATATGGATAATTGTTGCATCATTATTTCAATGTCCGATCTCGTTCGAGTCTAATACGTATCTTTTTTACAACTTTTCTTTTGCAAGTCATTGTTATGAATGAAAATTAGTTCGTTTTATGTCTCTAGATTCGCCGGTTTTTTTTTTTTTTTTTTTTTCTTCCCTAAACAATTTTGTGCCACAATATATTACATGCATATATGCATGCAGCATTTATAACTCATTAATTTAATGATTCATCACACATATACTAATATTAAAATATATATAATGTTGAATTGTAGAAGTGCAAAAACTCAATGGGCATTTTACGGTGGCCCCGTAGTCGGAGAGTCCGCGATAAAACACCTGAATGAAATAGGACCAAAGGTGTCGCATATTTACGAAGTATTTAACGAAGGTCCGTGGAAAGTAAGCACGGTGGAAGTACGCATTTCATGGCCTTACGAAGTTGCGAACGACAAGGCACATGGCAAGTGGCTGCTCTATATGGAAGAGATGCCAACTATCCAAGGTAATAATATACAAAATCGTTTGCTCCTTTAGTTGGCTTTTCGTAACATGTTGAAATTAAAAATCGAATAGTTTATAAGATTTAGGAATTGAAACTAATTATTCCATTGTTGGGATTTAAGAATTAATTATTAAATGGTAGTAAAACTTTTAATCTTATGTAGAAGGCAAGGTTTTTTGAGTTTTTAATAGCTGGAAGCTATATCGTTTTAGAAATGCTTGAAGTAAAAATGATAAATTAAAAATTTTGATTTCTTGCAGAGTATAAAAGCTTGTAAATAATTTCTAATTGTGAGCCATTCGTTTTCCGTCATTCTGACGTTTTGATTCTAGGAATATGTTGGGCAGAGAATGAGTGTGTGCGTGCGTGCGTGCGTGCGTGCGTGCGTGCGTGCGTGCGCGCGCACGCAAGTATGAGTATATATTTACACATTACATATGTATGTAAACACGAAGTGTCGTATTTTATCACAAAAATTTATTCAGTAGCACATTATATTAAAGGATTTAAAAACTAATGCAGTGAAAATATAAAATACTGTAAAAAGTGTACAACACAAGTTAAGCTTGTAATACATCTAAATCTACCTATGTTAATATTTAGCTCTGGGGGATGGTGAATGTACATTGCCACCAGGACATGTAGTTAATCCATTAAAACTGCAGGATAATGTCAACTTGGACGATATCGATAGTATTATGCAGTTTTCGACTCCCTCTTCGACAGTTTTATACAATCATACTAATCACATAAGAACGACGCGTGATACAGAAAAAGTTGTAAATACGCGAACAATTATCGACAAGGATGGACATCGGCATCGTGTCGTTGCAATGGTAAGTTATTACTTATGATGGTAAGTCGTCATTTAATTAAACTCGCAAAGTACAATTAGGAGAATCAAGACTGAAACTAAACGCATAATATAAATGTATAATAAATCCCTATACATGTTGTTTCGTTGTACGACACAAAGATTATAATTCTAAATATAAAAATAACTTTGAATTGTGAAATAAAATAATTTTATTCAGAATTTGTTTTTGAGAAAATTAATACATATATCCTTTAAAAATCAAAATATATCTTATCATTTCCAAGTTTGTACTTGGAATTTCATTATTGTAAGCTTTCGAAGTCTAAAGCTTTTCTATTTTTGCGAATTTATTCTATATAGGATATTTTGTTAGTAATATGTTTTAAAACGGAGCATTGATGGAAGAATCTTACATTACAGAATTGCAAAGCTGGCACAGCAAAGTGTTTCGACATTATATGCTACATATACAACTTACAGAGGAAACAAGAAGCCATCATAACTGTTAAAGCGAGGTAAGAAGAAGAAGAAGAAGAATCTTTATTACTTTTAGCGTTTAAGCCAAAAAAGGACTAATGTTGAATAATGTAGAGCATATGCTATTCAAAGAATAATATTCAAAGAAATTGATTGATTTCAGACTTTGGAATTCTACTTTAGTTGAAGACTACCCAAAAGTGGACATGGTTAAAATAGGTTCCAACGCTAGGATAGTAATACCTTCAAACATTGTGATACAGCAAGAAAACTTGAAGGATGATTATGCAATTGTAAGCATATTTTTCTATATACATATACAATATATATTTTGATAACTGATAACTGTCGTATTGTCGAAAGAAGATACTATTAATCATTGATAAGGAAATTCCCATTTTGGATTTCCAATCTTGGATTTAATACAAGAAGATATATAGAAAATATTGAAAGGATTACAATAAAAATCATATGACAATGTTCTTTCATGTTGTTATATAGGCCGAGACAATTGCTTATCCAGATCTGTTGGATCAGCAAGAAGCCGAGCCTGTACCAGTGTGGATATACATAGTGGCCGCAGTAGCTGGGATGTTATTATTCATTCTACTTACATTAATATTGAGGAAACTCGGGTTCTTCAAAAGGCGACGGCCAGATCCGACCCTATCTGGAAATCTCGAGAAACACAGAGACGATAATCCTGAAAACGAAGCATTATTTAAACATTAAGCACTAAATAATCGAAATATAAAACGTAGAAAATGTAAAAGCACAACAAATTGTTATAATTACTTAAGATTAAGTACTTATGGTAAAGAAGAAGAAAAAGATGAAGAAAAAAAGAATGTCTATTTACGCATACCATTTATTTCTGATTTTATACTGCCTGAATTTGAAATGCACAATTTTATATGCATGAGCAGCTAAGTACGTAAAGATTGATAAAATAGTTTGTGATATTGTTATACTAAAATACATTTTATGCGCATACGACAAAGTTTTTTTGAAGAATGTTCAGATTTATAATATGTATATGTGTGTATACACAAGTGTCACAAATGCCTTAACGTTTTTTTTTGTTCGAGAAAAAAATCATGTTTAAACAGTTAATAACTTATGATTATTCGTAATCAGAATAAAGCTATAGTGAACAAGCAACACAAAGCAATATTATAATAATTGAAAAGTAGCTTCGACATGTATTATAAGTATTATATCTGAGAAACTAAATAAAGAATTAAATTTATTCTGTTACGTAAGTTTAAAGACATTTTTATCACTTTTATAATTATGTTAGTTTTAAATATTAAAAAATACTTATTTTAAGTGAATAGAAACCAGCAACAATATAAATATATTGGATTAAAAAATATCCTGTGACTTTGTTAAGGCATTTGTAATACCTATTGTACTATGAGAAGGTAGCCGTTTTATAACGAATATAAAAAGTGTTGCTATTATTAGTTTATTCATATTTGACTCATATCGTTAACATGTCATAAACATATAAAATAGCATCGACGTAACAGGAGGATGATGAATTAAATATGTAATAAAAATCGTTCTCTTGATTCTAATATTGTGTAGTGAAATTTTAAAAATTATATAATTTTATATTTGTTTTATTTTTAAAGGATATAATTTTTTCTTCTACAAAAGTTAAAATTAAAAGTAAAATAGTTATTAAAATCGCAAGATGTAAAACGACAATTCATAGAATTTACAGATTCGAATATATTATAATAATTTAGATGAACAACATATATTTTCATCACGTAATAGAATTATATTTTTTATTATGTACATTTTTTAACTTTCACTTAAAAATATCTATCCAGCAGACAAAATCTACTGATTATATTAAATTATTAATTAATGTGTCCAAAAACTTCGAACTTTGATATATATTCTCCATCATAAAGGGAGTGCAAAATGCACCAAGTGTTTTAAATGCAATGAGCGCAACTGAGTATTAAACATATTAAATACATATTCTTTGAGATATATATTTAGAAATTTAAATTCAGAATTCTTATAATTGATTATTATTCTGCAAGAATTGATCCTTAATATTTCTACCGATATAAAATAAATGCTTAAACATTTGTTATAACTCTCTTTTATTGCCTATTCATGTAATCAAGCCACAAATTCTCTATTAATATTTTTTTAAGTTTTATTTATCATAATCTGGTAAAAGAAAGAAATCATTCCGCTGCACATAAGAATTGCTGATAAGAATTTCAATGTATTATACAATATAGAATTAAAAAATGTAAAAGGGGGAGAAAGATTTCTTGCAAATATAAATGTCATATTTATATTTAATAGACTGCTAAATGCATATCTTCTGCAAAGGTCAATGATGTTACGATCTCTCTGCCAATATTTGTTATACGTACTGCCCTAAAATCGAAAAATAACAAAGTTTATATATATATATACATATACATATAATTATAAAATATAAAATTTGTTTCTTACTTAGTAATAATTTCTAATTTTATATATATATATATATATATATATATATATATAATAGTGTTACAGTGTAATGAATTTTATATTTGTCTGTAACCAATAGATTCCATATATATTTACATTTTATTAATAAGGAAATAAAATTTTATTCTAAAATATTAGCCAATAGCAATTTTTTTCCTCAACGAAACCTTTATATTTCACACAATGAAAAAATTGCAACAATTTTGTGGACATGTACATTTACACAAAAAAAAATTAGAAGAATGTAGTAGAAATGTTCTTGACAGCTAATTGTAAATAATAAAAGTTGATTTTTTATTCTAAAGAAATAGTTTTAATAAATTAAATTTTTTATTTACTTCAGTAAAAATTTTCTTGCTATAATATTTTGATTTGCGAATTTGTAATATCTTATAAAAATCAAATTCTCATATTTATATTTTTCATCTTACCTGGAATATTTACAAAGGCTTACATTGACTAGCATTATGCATTACGAAAGAGAAATTACTGCTAAGATCAATGTCCAGAAATGGTTTTGTTACAATATTTTTTCAGATAACAACAATCTGTGATCATAAACCTGTAGGATACAAGAATAAGGACAAAATTATTCATATGTATATGTAATCGCAACTCTATTAAACTTAATATTATATTAAGTTTATAATTATATTAATAAGAGTTTATACAATAAAGTTTAATTCGTATAAACTATATTTTATATTAAACATACACACGCGCGCGCGTGTGAGTAATTCAGTTATTAACGGAATTGCATTTATATTTCATAATTGTTTATAATTATAGATGCACATGGGTAATATTACCTATATAATAATATCGTTAAAGGAACTGTACTGGCATGCCACAAGGAGTGAGCATCAAATGTCCAAAGAATTGGAGGAAAATCTGCCAACTCGAGCAGAGTCACGAAAATAGTCAATATATTGAACCAAGCGATTAAGTACACGTAAGGCAACTTATTACGGTTAAAATACCACCACAGCATTGTTACTGCGACAGTCATTAATCCTGGAAATGATTCAACTTTAGAATATAGTTTAGTTATCTTTCTACAAGTATATGCGATTATGGGGTAAAATTTACCTATCGTTACATTAAGCATCATATTATAACCATAATTAATTCTGCCTGACCATAAATGTGGTAAATGTGTACACAAAATGCTTACATATCCGCAAGTTATTATAACGAATGCTTTATTTCTCTTGTTCGTTATCCTGAAAATAATTAATACAGACATTAAATAATGAAAATCAAAAGATTACATATACGTTAACACATTCACTGCCAAACTTAAAAGATACACCAACTCTGAAAGCCAATATTATAATAAACTAAAATTATTATAGTGAGCAATAAATCTGTCACGTGCTGGTGCATAATCGGCTATTTATGAAGGAGTCTTATTACGCGCTGGCACGTTATGGGCAGTGAACATATTAAGAGACGTTCTTTGTCTTTGAAATATATATTGTAAAATTAATTTACTAAATAAATATTTTAAATATTTTGCAAATATGAGTACATTTTATGTATCTACACACACACACACACACACACACACACACACATATTTTTTTCAAGACAAAATTTATTGTGCGTTACCTTAAAAGCATACAGTACAAAAGTGTAAGTACCATACTAAACGCACAAGAATAATCCATAGCTTCGGTAAATGGCCAGTCCCGCGAATGGAATACGGTTGACCAAAACCATCCGTTTAAACATATCTAGCAAAATTATACTTTTTAAGCAAATCACAAAGCAAATCTCAAAGATTACTAAAGATCATACAAAAATTAATATGATTCAAATGACACAAATATTTGACAATAAATACCATTGTTAAAACAATGGCAAATTTATTTGAGAAAATATCAGAAACCTATATTACTTTTCGCTTATAAATTCATTTCATCAGGATGAAACAAATTTTTCCCCTTAATAAAAAAAAAATAAATTTTAAAGATGACGATAAATATGAGTAAACCTTTTCATTGCATTTGAAATGGATTGACTTGTTTGAATAGATTTATAATTTATTAATACGAATTAATAAGACGTGACGTGGAAAAATTGAAAATTTGCAAAAGGTTCATCATCTTGGATAAATGAAAATTTTAATTTAAAAATTCCAAATTGATCAAAATATTTATATATGTGAGAAATTGTTTGTTATATTTTCGACTCTGGAGTATATGTGAATATTGAACTTACAATACTGAAATATGCCCAAGCATAGAACATAGGATTGGCTCGATCTGCCATTCTTTTAAATTTCCCATACATTATCCAATGTACATAAAAATTTAGTATAGAGAATAAAACCGAAGCAGGCTCTTGACATCCAAACAGACGGATGAATGGCCACTGCAGCAAGAATAAGAATATCTATTGTTATTTTAAAATGCATTATCATAAATGCCACATAAATAAATAAAAACATTATTAGTAGTATTGAAGTAAGTATTGACATGTAGAAACTCATCATTACTTTTCCATGAAACTGCGGTATCTTCAAACCATGAGATACAAAGAAATCAACTGTCTTCCATATGCAAATATAACTGCAATCTTCCTTGCAGGACCAGCGTAGCAAGATTAATGATAAAGGAGGTTGTTCCTTAAAATCTATTTCTACAACATGCATCGGGATTTATTAAATATTAAATCTTTGATAAAGGAATAGCAAATGTTTCCTTATATGAGTAAGAAAGTGCATCTGAAAGGATTAACTACTATGTACTAATAATAACAAGTCAGTAGTACTAAAAATATGTGTATTATGTATACTATAATAATAAATTATAGAAAAATATGTTTGGCACTATAATAAATCAACATATGAGACACATTACTTGAGAATAGAAAATTATAGTTATGTTATTATGTGTAACATTTATAATTGGATTTGAAATAATCATTGATTAGGATTGAGAGAATGAGACTGAGAAAGAAAAGAAAATATACAGAGATATGTAATTATATTCAATTAAAATTGATATTCAATATATAGTTTCATGGATAATTATAACGATTGTTTGAAATATAAAAATATATTACCAAAGTATATAGACAGAGAAAAAAATAAAAGAAAATTTTTTTATTCTCTTAATCCTTTACTTATTCATTATAGTATGTATAGGTATATGTACATATTATATTTGCATTATACATATTTCTTTTTATTTATATATTTTTTATAAATATACTAGTTCGTTCAATCGCGCGTTCGCGCGTATTGGCTGATAAATACTGTAAACTTGAGGCCTAGTTTTGCAATATTTGGAGAAATTAAAAATATTAAAAAATTCACAAGAAGAAAAAAATCACAGCTCGCAGCTCGATTATTACCATCTTTGCAGTTGCTATTGCGACACAGTGTTAGACATTGGTTGTATACCTGCGACTTGTCACCTATCGAACCAACCGTATTTCCAACGAGACAAATTTGAAGAATTAACAGAAGAACCCATGTCGATTTTAGCATGTCGATTAATGTCAAACTGAAAACTAGAAAAAAAAACACGTAGTTGTGTATTATTACATAGAGTGGAAGATATATATACGATACATTCCCGAAAGCCAAATTATACGACTAATAAAAAGACACGATAAAGTGTAGAAAGTGCACTGCAAAGTGCAAGTAATCAATCGGATTACCGGACCAAAGAGCGCGGCCATCCCGACGTTTTTCCGCAACAACGGCAAAACTTTTGACCTGCCCCGTACACTAGCGCCAATTGCATCTACCTCTTTAAGATGGAACTACGTATGTATGTATGTATGTCGATAAAATGTGTCCGTGCTACATTCACAAAGCTGTGCAGCTGTGGATGGAGAATATGTATATATCATTGTATGATGTATGTATGTACATACATCATACATATATTACATATATATTTTACGTATAATTTACGTAAATCCTGCTTTCTGGATGTAGCACAGACACGCACCACATTTTATCGACAACAGCTGTGTGCGTAGTTCCATCTCAAAGGTAGATGCAATTGGCGCTAGTGTACGGGAAGGTCAAAAGTTTTGCCAGTGTTGCGAAAAAACGCCGGGATGACCGCTCCTGCTTCTCTCTGGTGTGACTGCCCAGCCCAGTGCCAAGTGATAACGAATAATAACGCGAATGACAAGCTCCCCCCAAGGAGGACAGATATCTTGAATGTGTACGACTTGAGTTGGAAAGCGCGAAGGAGGCCAGGACGGGACGGGGAAGAGAAATGACACACACGCCATTCGCGGCCATTTAGAGAAAAGAGATAAATATGCGCTCGCGAATATCGACAAGATGGAATAAACAGAGGCGAATAGAACACAATATACCTAGGGATACCTGTTAGACGTATATAGAAAGACGGAAGCAGACACCTGTTGCCGCCGCGGCCGGCCGAGTTAGGCGAGATCGCGATTGTGCAAATGCGCAATGGCCCACTTGCTCAAGAACCTGACCAACAGTATCTGGCATGCATTTCACGCTCTACAGGCCGATGCCACCAACACGGTCGCCAAATCCAAGTTGAAGGTGAAATTTTGAAAAATAAAAATGCCATAACATCGCCAAGAAATTCGCCCGTTAGGCCGGGAAGCTTGGAATAAGATTGTGCACTTACTTACTCTCAATCTCTTCTTTTCTTTTTGTTTATTTTAGTCTCTTTATTTTTCCATTTTGACATTTTAGGTGTTGACAGCCAACATTGGTACGTTGATGGATTTATATGGCGTGGAGAAAGGCCTGGAGCATTACCGGAGTACGCAGAGTTTAACGTTCGATCAGTACATTTATTATTTACAGAAAGAAGTAAGACCTTTTCCAGATGCATGTATAATTATAAATCATTTGAACAAAATGAGACAAATGTCAATTTTTTTAATTACTCGAAGAAATGATAGAATTTTATAGAGAGAGACGTATCAACAAGTTATATCTTTATATAAAGATATGCAAACAAGAACAAATTTTGAAACAAGTTTTTAAGCTCAAACTTGATTATTTACTTAAATTTCAGCAAATACTTGACTGTGACAAACATTTAGGAAATGTGAAAATAAAAGTTGGTCCACATATTCATGAAATATAAAACAAAAGATTATTCATAAGAGATATATGCAAATATGCTTTCTTTGTTTTCTTATTTTCAAAATGCATTTAATATAAATATGTTTAAGCATTCTTTCAAACTTTATTTCAAATTCTCTCCCCCCCCCCCCTCTCCCTCTTCCTCGTGCAATCCTTTCTCCCTTTCAACATCTCAGTTAAGAACATTTGCCTCACACTTGCTCCTGGTCCTGATGATGTATTTTGTAGCAAGAATTATGTTACTTTAGGTGTTCTCCTCTGTGACCGATGCTACTTCTGCACAAACATTGAAGACATTGGAAGAAGGAATAGATGAGATTTGCTGGCTGGTTTGTAAAAAAATTTACTTGGAAAGATCCCATCCAGTTTTTCACGATCACAGTGTTTACCAATTGTTCAGAATTTATTGTCTGCTGGCTGAGACAGAATCAGATACAACAGATTCTTATCTGGTTAGCGATTGCTTTTAATAAATTGTATAAACAAAGAAATGTCTTTCGTAATTTTTGATATTCAACGTGTGACGCCTTTGTGACGCAGGTGATAATGCATGGTGACGAGGTGGCGCGAATCGCTTCTCATCTAGTAATGTCTTTAGGTCTGCAATGGGACGCGGCAGATTTCTCGGCTCTATCAGCGGCTATTGGGACATTTAGGTAAGGTTTTTTTTTTAGCATTAATCATAAAGATAAAAATGTCAAAAGAAATAAATGCAATTTATGTATGAAAAATTTATCGAAAAGGTTTCCCACATTTTTGGCGCTTTTGGAATCCAAGTATAGTGGTGGTAATACTTTGGACACTATGGCATTGACAGAGGCGATTGATGATCTCTATCAGATTTACATAGAGAATGTTGTGAAAAAGGTAAGTTGAAAGTTTTGCTTGATTAATAAATAAAAAATGTGATTCATACTGTCCGCCTTCCTTTAAATGCATGCTGTAATGCTGCACGTTGCGCTCTTATGTTTACATATATATATATATATATATACCGATACACGTTATAATTTTAAGAGGCGTCATGCATGCGTTACAACGAAATAATTTTTTCTTTTTCAACAAATATAAACAGGGCTACTTGATGAAAAAAGGTTTTCTGCTGCCAACGTTGCGGTACTTTTGGTTTGTGCTACGTCCTGGTGAATTGACATATTATAAAGATCCCCAGCAAAAAGAGCCGTCTGGATTAATACTGCTGAATGCAAATTGTTGGGCCGATATTTTGACAAACAGCGGAAAGCCTGATAGAAGGTTTGTGCTCAGCACTCCCGAACATAGATGCATAGAGCTAGTAGCAGAGGATCACAAAGGCAGGCTGCAGTGGCTTGCGGCATTACAAACGGCCATTCAGTATTCAAGCGAGAAAATCGGCTATCAGAGAAGTTTGGCCAGTCAAAGAAGATCCTTGCGACAAGTAAATACAAATTAATTAAATGACAAAAGATGCGCGTGTACGTTTAATTGCAACAGTTATTAACAGAGATAATAGTTTTAGTTAGTGAATAGTCTATTGAATAACGTATTGCTGTTCTTGCTGTTAGGCTACTAAACAGGAGAAAGAAGAAACCAAATTGGAACTTCAGCATGAGAGGCAAGCTAGAATCGCCGCCGAAATACAAGCTCGGAAATTGGAAACTCTGTCGAAGGAGGAAGGTGCTAAGGTTCAACAACTCGAAGATATTAAACAGAAGCTAGAATTGCTCTTGCAAGAGGAAAAACAGGCTCTCCGTGACGAGGAAATAGGTAAGGAGCTATTGTATCTAATTTTTATTGCACCATATTTTTTAGGATGATATAATATTTCAATAAGCCTTATATATGTATACTGCAGTGCGAAGCTTACAAGCGAGAGTACTGCGCGAAGAATGGGAAAAGAGAGAACAATTGGAGAGATTGCAGCAGGAACAGCAGGAATTATTGGAGATGGAGAAAATGAAGAGAATAGAATTTGAACGAATGCAGAAGAAAAACGAGCAGCAGTTGCAAGGTATGTACAAAAATTCAAAAGATGCACAAAATAGAACATCTAATATTTTGAAAATATAATATAATGTATTTTTTATTACATAACAACATTTAAAGTAATGAAAAATAAAACGTAAATCTTGTTAGTTTATTAATTTAATTTTATCCAAAATATAAACAATACGTTGACATGCGCGTATTTCTTTTCTTAAAGCCTTCATTTTATTCTTAATTTTACTGCTACCTTAATTCTCCAATATCTATCTTTGTTTGAAAAAAATCTCTACTTTATCCTTTTATATTAATTTTTAGATGCTGAACTGCGACTCCAGCAGCTAGAAGCAGAAAGGGAGCATTTGGATACCGAATTACGAGCTACACGTGAAAAAGTGAAACGCGCTGAAGAGGCTCAACTTCTATTGGAAGCACAAATCGTCACGACACGTCCTTTAAGAGGAAGTGAAAGGATTCGACGTACTCAGAGCTTTATCCCAACAACGAAAGAGCGGCCGTTGTCCGTAGAGAAAATCGACAGTAGACCTATGACATTGCAGAAGAATATATGACATATTGGTACATGGCGCCATTGATAGTTAACAGATCGATGTATTTATCGCCCGAGTTACATTCAAGTCTTCCACCAAATAGAGTAACACAAAGAGCTTATAGAATCTATTATACGTTGCAGGGCAACTATGTTATATTTTCGCGAAGAATGCGAGAAAAATCCATACGAGCTCCGAATTCCATATTTTATTTTTGATGCCTTGCTTCATTTGCAATCTTAGCCAAAAAGTATTTAGTGTGTGTGTGTGTGTGTGTGTGTGTGCGTGTGTGTGTGCGTGTGTGTGTGTGTGTGTGTGTACAAATTTTGTATACGCCAATTTCCATTCCTTATTATCTTGGAAATAATGTAATTTATATCTTGTAGATAACAAGATATAATTTCCACTTGACATATATAAATATATACATTTTTTTTCTCGAACTTAAATATTACCATACAATAAGTAACTATTTAATACGAATTTATACTTAATCGTGTTGAGATATACTAATACATATATAGGATATTCCGAATTTTAATGTCAAAACTTTGGGAATGTGTAAGGGAATCGATAAACTAAAAAAAAAATCTTTAGAGATACGTTTGTTTTTAGACGCTCCCGAAGTTTTGACATTTAAGTTCGGAACATCCTGTATATATATATATATATATATATATATATATATATATATATATATCTTAGAAATATAAAATGTGTTTAACAGAGGTGCAGAACATTTTTGTAAATTTTGTAAAATTATTAACAATTTCGTTATATTTTATTCGAGTCGAATTGAGTTTCATTGAAATCAGATGCAATTTTTATGTTTCATCTATATACATATATGTATATCTTATGCTAATTGTAAGCTGAACTCTGTTATATTGATCAAACACGTGTACATGGCTGATCTCAACAGTTTTACTGTTGCTATCTTATATTCCTAATAGAAGATTTGTATCTTGTTAAAAATAAACAATTTGAATATTAATTTATAACAATATAAGATCGTTTTCGATTCGCTAAAAAATGCCGAAAAAAAAGAAGGGAAAGGGAAGTAAATTGGCTCGCATGAGTGACGAGGAACGCGCTCGCTACCTACAGCACCGAGCCGAATTGGAGTTGGAGGCTAAACGACGTAAGCAACAACTGATTGCAGCTTTTACTAAGGTACATCCAAAGCAAAATAAAAAGAAAATATAAAAATATATAAATTTTTAACAAATAAATTTTTAAATGTAAAATAGAACAAGCTTAAACGGGAGGAAGCGTTCGCGCGATTAAATACTGCCAAGATCAACGAACAATGGCGATTCATTCTTCGCCAAATAAAATGTAAAGAACTTTACGAAGACGTGGAATATCTTCGGAATAATTTCGATCGTTTGATGAAGACGAAAAATCTCGTGATACAGCGTTTACATAATGAACTAGAAGCAGCCAATGTGGATCACAGAAGACTGCAAGAGGCCCACATTCAAATGATGGACCTGACAATTGGTAACTCATATCACTGTTCTAGTCTATGTAAAACTATTCTGTATCCTATCTTAAAATTGCCGTGTTACCTGCGTTGAAGCCTCTTTTCCCCAATGTTTAAAAATTCATATCTTCCACAAACATAAAGATATAGACTTCTTTCTGGGCTCATCTTAAAGATGAATTATGTGGCTATTTTTTAAAAAATCGTGATTTTATTTAAAAAATGGCCGATTCAAAATAGCCGATTAAAACGTTATTTTTTCGAAAATTTATTTCTTTACAAAATTGTTAAAATTTGTTTAATTAAAATGGGTGGTGGTGGTGGGTGATGGTAAATAAAAAAAAAATTTTTATTTTAAAAATCAAATGCCATGTTATCTGCGTTGAAGCTTCTTTTCCCCAATGTTTAAAAATTCATATCTTCCAAAAAAATAAAAATATCGACTTCTTTCTAGACTT